CAATAAAAACACAAACAAACATCGATTATGACCAAGGATTATGTTATAGTTACTAGGTTAATATTTAGTTATCAACTATGTAGGTAGATTGTTTCTATCAGAAATTATTGATAGTTAATTAAAAGATGCAATATCAAATTGCTTCTTATAAACAACAACATCTACAACTAATCTTCTGGATTAAGGTTACAATAATTTACACATAGCACCTGATTTGAAACATTTACTAATTAGTAAGTAAGAAAGACACTAAGTGGCCCCTTGAGTGTCTTGTTTCAAAAAAACACCACTGACATTCCTTAAACCTTTACAGTAACACAGAAATAAGAAATGGAGGATAAGTATTCTATATGAAGATATGTAAACTGAAAGTGAAATGGTTGCTATCAAAATAGAAAAGGTTTGATATTAATTAATTTTATATCATCATGAATTTAGAAGAAAATTTATTTTCCATAAATAACATATATATATATATATATATATACCGATGACAAAGCGTCATCAAACAAGAAATGCCTATCTGTTTATCCATCAACTCGCATTTCTGTAACAACGGCTCTTGAACTCATCTCGAGGGTTGGCAGTCGACTCCAAATACTTGCAGCGTTTAGCTGGCGTATCGATCGTTTATATAAATAACGAACGATACATTTCATCTTCTATGGGCAAATGTATTGACAGTTCATTGTGTTTACAGTAAAGTATCGGATAGTTAGTTACCTGATGTTTACCTTAGTAGTGGGTAATTGCAGAAAAATAAGCTGTAAAGCTCATATTTCCACTGCGTGTGAATATTTAAAGTGTACACAAAATAGCGAGACTTCCTTCGTAAAACTGGTCGAAGTTCTAAGGAAATACAGTCAACAAATTATTCACGTGTGCAGCATATAATCTACCTCGATTGTTATAATACTCTACATCTTTTTATATACAACTAAAATTAACAGAGGAAAATACACTACAAGAAAGACTTCTTGACACATCAGGATTTGTTTGGGTTATAAGACCGTTTCTTGATAGATCAGAATTTATTGTAGTTATAACACCGTATCTTGACAGACCAGGATTTGTTGTGGCTATAACACCCTTTCTTGACAAACTAGGATTTCTTTTGGTTAAAACACCGTTCCTTCACAGACCAAGATTTGTTGTGTTTATAACACTGTTTCTTGACAAAATAGAATTTGTTGTGGTTATAATACCGTTTCTTGAGAGATTAGGATCTTTTGAAGTTATTAAACCTTTTCATAGACGAACTCTGGTTTCATGTAGTTATAATACCGTTTCTTGACAGGCCAGGATTTGTTGGGATTATAACACCATTTCTTCACAGACTATTTATTGGAATTATAACACCGTATCTTGACAGACCAGGATTTGTTGGGATTATAACACCCTTTATTGACAAACTAGGATTTGTTGTGGTTATAACAACGTTTCTTGACGAACTAGGATTACTTATGATTATAACACAGTTTCTTTACAGACCACGATTTGTTGTGGTTAAAACACCGTTTCATGACAGATCAGGATTTGTTATGGTTATAACACTCTTTCTTGACAACAGGACAGATTACAGTCTATAGCTTAATTTGATGGTGGAAGGCAAAGTGTTTGTTTAATGAACATGACTGAACATCATAAAAAAGAATGAACAACAATCTATGGTATGTCGCTTAAGTAAAAATGAATGGTATGCAGTTCTTTAATGACTATAAAAAAAGTATTACACACCTGGCGGATGTTATTATAAATGAGTGCTAAGTTGCCTAGTAATTAAGACAATAGTCTCTAATAGACGCTGGCATTTCTTTTTAATGTCCAGATGGTTTAATATCAACTCTATTGACCTCCAGAATGTAAATTTATGTAACTTATGCTCGAAGTAGATTTGACTATATACACACACACATATACAGTATATGAGGCAGGCGGTAGCACTAGCTATGTAGGGATGGTTCGGACTGTTTGTTAAAATGGTATTTTAAATATCTCCTCAATAGGTCATCAGAACTTTACAATACTATACAGTGTTTCCTTTTATAACAATATCTATGTAATGACTGAGTCACAGTTTCTGGGAATATCTGTAAATATCATAGAAAAAAGTCCGAATTTCTTGTTCTTCTTTCTACTGCTTCTTTTTTATTACATGGTATCTCAAAAACCAAAACAATGGTGTCAACAATTCACTGAGGTGACATAGTTTCGAACGGACTACCCGCTTTTATAAATATTATCTTGTACACATATCAAACAGACGATGCGCTACTTTGAACTTATAGACTTGATGGTAAGTTGGTAGAGATCCTGATGAGCAATAAAATCGAATCGGAGATATGCGCGCCCCACGCTTTTTTATTGGTGGCGCACAATAATATAGTTAACAATTAAAGAAAAAACTTTTAAAAAAGATGTAAATATTGGGGTGGTATTTGCATCATCCCTACATATTAGCAAAGGCAAGAATTAAATCAGTGTGTGAAGCTACTTGCAACTTTGCATAGATGGTGTTGAGAGACCAGAATCTGATGTTCCGAGACTAAAGACTTGAGAACTGAGCAGATGAGACTGAGACCTTATAATTTGATCTTGAAGCTGATCTTGAGATCCCATCTTTGATAGATTGTTGGAGATTATATAATAGTTAAAAAAAAACAACTGAGATAACTGAAATGTGTTGTGTGTGTGTGTGTGTGAGAGAGATGTTCAGAAAGACATCTTGTTACAGCCTGTCGCAGCCAAACAGTTTTGGCTTTTTTGCAAACTATGTAATCTGTACCCATTCAAGACAGTCACACATAAGCCTATTTTCATTCTGATTACATAATCAATGATGTATAGAGCCACGTTTTTACTGCTGAAACTACTAATATCTGAGAATTTAATAGGTCTATCATAAACCCTCACTCCTCAGGTGTGTGAAATTTAAAAATAACAAAAAGTCTTGTCCAAGGGACAAAATGCTGGAAGATTTACCTGCCCCTCCATGTTCCACAAAAGATACCCAAAATATTGGAAAAGTTAAATTTTAGAATTTTACTTTAACAGTGAATAGTAAAAAATGAAAAGAAAGATAAAATGAACTGACAACTCAGTTGTTTGCATCATTTCTATAAAGGTGTAGGTGTAATCTTTATTACTCATGTCTATATTAAATACATTATTTTGCAGACATGGTAAAAAAATACTATACACGAATGCAGGTTTTTTGGTAAAAATGACAAGACGTCAATATGTTTTTAAGAAGTACCTGATTCAGATGCAAAACACTGAAACAGGGATTCTTTTTTGTTATATTCTGTGTCCTTTGTCAGCTGTTAGATTTCTTTACAGTGCTAAATGGATAAACTAGATGAATCTATCAATAATTATATTTGAAATATATATATTAGTGTATTATAATATGCCATTTTGAGAAAATCAGTTTTTTCTGTAGTTTCCACAATAGAATAGGAAATTTCAAGTGTGCTAATTGTTAGATATAATCATTATAGATTTTTTTAAGATCTAAAAAATCTAACTTTAATTGTCTATTCAAAATATTATAAGATTTGTTTTTTGACAAATGAGTTGTATCCATAGGCCTTTGTAGTCAAAATGGGGATACTGCATCTAATCTGTTCCTATACACTAGTTATGTATTTTATGGTTTTTAACATCTATTCATTAGGATTTTACAGCACAGAATGTAAATACCCTTTGCACGAAGTGATGAATAAATCACTGCTACCACAAACTAGAATGGTGTGTAATATATACACATTTAGAGAAATGCATTTTTAACTATTCCTGTGTATATGCTAAGCTTCCACAATTCAGAATTTTCAGGAACTTGTGTGTGTGTTTGTCTCTAGACAGATGTAGTTGTTTTGGTCATTGGTCAGTATGAATTCAACATTTTTTCTCTTTTTTTCTTTTTCTTTAACTTATTCCAGGCCCTACTAACTAATTATTATTCTGGTTATTTTCTTATATCATTAATCTGTTGGAAATTATTATTATTGTTTATACTGACCTGGAAACTTGTATTTCAAATATCTTATGGGCATGAATCTGCATGCAGAACATCAGTCAAAGAAAAGTCATTACTACAATATAGTGTATGCTCTGTTATGAATATAAACTGGTTTTGCAAATATAAAAAAGTTAAAACTTTCATAAACTCAATGTGTATGGAGAGAGAGAGAGAAAGCTATTTAAATGGTTTTCCTTGTTATGAATTAATTTTTTCTTTGTTAATTAATTTCACTAAAAACATGTTTAGACATTTTTGTTACTTTTTTTTCTGTTGTAATTTAAAATTATTTCTACTTATAGTCTTGTGTTTGAAGAGGAATTTTGAACTACTAGGAGATAACAAATAAATGAAATTGCGCCAAATCCTGTTGTTTATTGGTTCTGTTTTTGATTTTTACAAAACACTAACATTTTACTGTATTACGTTATAGCTATTAACAAAACAGGCGTCAGCTCTTCGTGAAGTGAATGACTCTCGGTTGAAGATATATGAGCAGTTAGAAAGTAGTATTGCTGACCTAGAACGGACCAATCAGCGACTGCAAACAGAATCATCAGAAGACAAGAAGAGAATTAAAAGGTAATATACATAGTCAAATGACCTCTGAAGAGACCATTGAACATCATGTGGTTGAACCATTGACCATATTTCCTCCTCAACATAGAGTTACCTCTCCAGAGTACAAGTTTTTGCTTATGAAAACACAAGTAAAGCAGTGTTAACTTAATGATTCAAGTGGTTTGAAGAACTTGACAAAACAAAAACTACTTGTCAAAGTGAGTCATTTTATAAAGGAAGGGATTTATGGATGACTACACATTTTAAGTGAGTGTCTGGTTACATTTTGTATGAAATGACTCACAGTTGCATATTTTACATGCACACACATTATGAACAATATGAACTGGTAAGTGAGATCAGTTGTCAATGGAAACATTTTGTCTTTCATAAGTTGCTCATGGAGGCTTTTTGTAAGACATGTCGTTTATTGTTTCATGATTCAAAGGAATGTTTATTTTTTTCATTGAGTGTGACATAAGAATAATTTAAGAAGTACTAAACCACTGAAGTAAACCTTTCTGGTAACATTTCTTAAATTCAAGCAAACCAAAAAATGTTAAGTAAGACTGTTATAAATGTATCTTTGCATAAGATGTTAATCACAGTAGGCTGTCTTATGTTACTGCATTGATCAAACAAATTTAATTAATCAAAACAAACTTTTAAATGTGATAAAAAAAAAATAATTGATAAAGGTAGAAAATCTGCATAAAATAGTATTTTATATCTAGACAGAAATAGGTTATTCTCTGTTATTTGCCTTGATTTGTTATCAATATATATATATATATACACGAGATGTGTGTTTGTATAATAATAACTTTCTTTCTTTCATTAGTCTCTGTAACAGTATTGAAACTCTAGAAAAGAAATGTGAAGAACTTCAAGAACTAGCGGATGAATTAAAAAAGCATCAGTTTATCAGTCAAAAATAGAGAGGCATCAAACTTTGAAAGAGGGCCAGGAAGCAGGTTTAAAAAAAAATCTAAGGAGAGTTCTGAGTCTAGACAGTGGTTTTCATGATGATACATTCTCAGTACATCAGGTACATGTTCACTAGATAGTTAAATATAGATGAGAAACAAATTTTTATCAAGTGCTGTTAGAACTGATATTGTGTGATAACTTGTAGAGCTCTATTATTGTATACATCTCTTCATTCTGTTTAAGGATTCATTTAGGAATAAATAGGATTTTGTGCACAAAGCCATTTTTATCCATGTAGATAGATCTTACAGAATTCATGAAGTCTTCAATAAAAAAAAGAAAAAAAAAAAAAAAGGACAGACTGTGATCTAAATGGGAATCTAAATACATACCTAAAACATTTTAGTACATGGATGCTTTCTCCATATTATAGCTTTAGTTGGACAAAAATGCATCAGAACAGTTGAGATAGAAGTCTTGAAAGAATTATAGTTTGTTAATCTTTGTACTTCAAGGCAAAGTTTTAATCGATGAAATTTAGATGTTATATTAAAGTGTTGTTACTAACCAATGTTAATTGATTTTTATTAGTAGAGTAGTTGCATTAGTGCATGTGCCACATTACATACTAAGATTACTTTAACTCTCTCACTGCTATTTGTGTAGATAAACAACTGTTTTAGTGTCAAGTATATTTTTAGATACACCATAAGAAAAATCGAAGTGACAGGTTTTTAATATTTTGTTGCTTATCTGAAACTTGTGACTGGCAAACTCTGGGGGTCTTCATGATGGTACAAAATTCCAAAGTCCTATAGGATTGTTGTAGAGGAGAAAATGTATTTTTCCATGGCAGTGAAAGAGTTGCATCAGTCTTCTTGTCATCAAAATAATTGTAAACCATAGATCCAATGTAAGTGAGGAGCTCATAACTCTTCTCAATTAACAGGATATTTGTGTTGATCAAGAGGTGATAAAGCTTCGGGCTTCAGCTTCCAAACTCAAAAGTCAATTGGCCAGAGAACAACAAGAAAAGTTGGATCTGCAAACTGAAATTGAAATACTGATACAAGTAAGTTTTAATATCATGTGTTCAGTAGTAGATGTTCTAAGATAATACTCTTAAGAGAGTAATGGATTTTTTAAGATGTTTTCAGTACATTTGTTCTGTTCAAATTTGAAATCACCAGAAAAACTTATTACTTGCTTATATAATTTTTATAATGTGGTGTTAATCAAGCTTTGATGTTTCCTTTAAAATGTATCACATAGAGTATGAAGGTTAATATTTAAAATATCTAATAAATTTATGTGCCATAAATTAACATGTTCTGTATCAACAAAATGTTTAAGTGAGGTTGAAGTGTTGATGAAAGTTAGGTTTCATTGAACATTTACTTGCACCTTTAGTAGTAACTGATAAAGACATACTGATGAACATTTAGTGAATTATATATATTTCATAAATAAGCAAGTGAAGATTTACTCTAAAAACTGCTGTAAACAACATTAGTGACTTGTGATTTGTTTGAAAGAAATCTCGAATGAAAAGCTATAAAACATTAAAATGCTTAAAAGTTGGGAATCACTTTTATCTGAGAGCAGAAGTTACAAAACTGCCAACAGTTATAGGTATAACTGTTAAATCATATGAAAATTTATTACCTTATTTCTGGAGAATTAAAGATAGTGAACTCCTTCGTTGGTTGTGATTCATCACCTCAACCTAGAATGAAAAATGCTTTTTCACTTAACACTCATGAATAAACAATCAATTGTCTTTTTGTGAGGTAAAGAAAATCCAGTTTACTTTCACAGACTGAAGTTATTACATTTGTTTCAGTTGAACTAGTGCTCATTATTGGTTGTTATTTGTTTAAGTTAAACATGCTCATTATTGGTTGTTATTTGTTTCAGTTAAACTAGTGCTCATTATTGGTTATTATTTCCACAGGAGAATGTTCATCTACAATATCAGCTTCAGCTTTTTCAGGAAGAAGTAAAATCCAGTTTAGATATTGAGTTACAGACAGAAATTGCTAATAGGTTGGTTAATGGATGGTTTTGATCACAATCTGCAGCTTTATTATAGTACTTTATGTTAAATTTTGTTCGTTTTTATTTAATAAAACTACAACTAAGTTGACATAGTTTTTTCATTTGCACACACATACATTCTTTGGATGTAGCTCAGCTTGTTTTATTACACATAATAATGGGTAATGTATCAACTCAAAGTGGTTAGCAAAGTCCATAGCATGAAATAGTGTTATTTCTTGTTGAATGCAGAGCTACACAGTGAACTGTCTCAGCTGTACCCAAAACCTAAAATTTAATAAAAAGATAAAACAAACACATACCAATACTTGTTATTTGGATCATAATATGGAGAAAGACTGCATGATTTTATAATAGCCTAAGCAGGTGATGCATGACCTGCTGATAAATCATAGATGTAAGAACATATCACAATAATACTTACAGAAAGTGGATTATTTTTCAAAATATCTCTAAGTTTATTCAGAGCTAGGGATATCTCTAAGATCATAATCATGAACTTTTAAGTATGTAGTGACTTGATGCTGCCACGGAAAGTGCCTGGAACCAAAATTTTATTAATAAGATTTGTTGGTTCAAACTAAAGATTTATTGATAACAGGAAATTGTAATTACTTCCTTTATGCTAAATCCACATTACTAAAATGTTGTAATTGGTTTTATATATTATCAGAAGTGGTGAACTACTGTTGAAATACTCTTATGGTGTTTATAATTGTGAAATATGTTATGTATTTTTGATTTTTGGCATCTTAAATAAAAAGAAAATAATGCACCCAAAATAAATCTAGTAATTTAGATTAATTAATGAACTGGTAAAGAAAAATTTGTAAAATATTTATATTTTTTTTTATGTTCAGAAATGACAACTGCCCAGACTGCCAATTTACACTTCCAGTCATTGATGGGGAAGAAACTAATGAAAACTTGGACTGTGATGTAGAAGCTGAGGAAGTTGCTGAGATTGGAGAGTGTACTCTGGTCCAGTTGAGAAATGGTGTTTTGGCTTACGGTAGTCAGGAATCCCTACTGCCACTTTCTTGTGCAATGGAATCTAAAATTCACAGTAGTAATATCCACAAAGGTGTGTCTCTTTTGAGTGAATTGGATGCTCAGTACAGGGACCTTATTGATAAGTATGAAAATATCTTAAGCTCTCACAGGTATACTCTGGAGGAAACAGCTGCCCAAAGTTCTGACATAGAAGGTTCAAAGAGTGCCAATAAAATTGATGATGAAACGACCAACAATTGTAAGCTTGATGCCAAACAACCAGGAAACGAGTTGACTGCTACATTGCATTGGTCTTCAACTTTACCAGAATTCTCAGGAGCCAAGTCGGGCATTGAAGAACTGTCAGAAGTTGGAGATTCTTCACTCTCCTCTGGGTTTTCTGAGAGTTCAGAACGTGGAATGATTGATCAACAAGTTCAAACTGAACAGTTGTTTGAAACTGGAAGAGAAGAAACTGCTTTTCGGAAAACCTTGGACTTGTCTTCATCATCTAATTGTTTAAATGGTCACTTCAGTCATAGTCCTCCTGAGTACAAGCGCTTGTTTGAGGAAATATTTGCTGTTTTGAAAAAGTCCCTTCATTCAGACCTGGAAGCTAACAAACAACTACCTCTAACTCCTTCATTAGAGGAAGGCATTCAAATATCAAATGAACAGCCAAAAATTAACAAGCTTTCTCCAACCAAGGTTTCTCTTATCTCTCAGCCAAAATCTAACACAGTTGGTTTTAATAGTCCTCACCTTTCTGCAGAGAGTAAATTGTTAAAAAATAAACCTTTAGATGGTAAGTTTTCTAGACGGATGGAAATTATTGGTAATCTCAACAGTAAATCACCTGACTGTAAGGTGTCCAGAAACCCTGCTTGGTTGTCTGTTCAAGACTTTTTTCTTCCTAAGCCATTTTCACATCCAACATTCAAGGCTAGGCTTGCTGGAAATCTGACCTATGCAGATGTTCTGAAGAAGGGACGGCACATTTGTAAAACAGGAACTTACCGTAACAAAGACAAACCATAGATGTGGTATAAGAGATTGAATTAATGATGTTTTATTATTTGAATTTTTTTTCATTCTACATAGGTTGAGTTGTGAAGGAACATGAGAATCGATATATAATTTGTACCTAACCTACACATTTAAAGTTAGTGTCATACCTTGTTTACCAGTTTTGGGACTTTTTCTTTAAACAAAGCACCTAAATTCTTCGCAGATTTTAGAAAGGATTTCAGATGTTGCATATTTGTTTGCTTTTATATATTTGTTCACCTATGGTTTCTGTTGTAGTAAAGTTGTTTTTTCTGTTTTTTCAATGATTGCATATTTATAAAATAACCTGCTGTTGATTTATGGTTGTACTTTTTTTTAAATGCTTGTTTTTTTCATATTGAAGAACAAATATGAGGTTTTTCCTCACTCTAAACCACAGTTTTCACATCTGTCTGTTATCAGTTTCATTGTAATTGTTCATGTAATGCAGAAATTATTGTAAACCCCATTTTAGGAACCTAAATGACTGCTTATTGTTTATTTTCATTGAAAATTCTTGTAAGTGGATATAATGAAATATCAAAAATCATATATTTTTAGAGCACTTATTTTAGAAGAAATGCAATTATTACTAAAAAGAAAGTGTCCTTTACGTAATGATAAAGAGCTTTGTTATGAACAACTACATAGAGCTGTGCTAAATATTAGTCTTACAATATACCAAACTCCATTTCTTTATCTGACTAACATGCCTGAAAACATTACTGAAAAGCTTTAATGCCATTTTATGTATGATAAAGTTTTAGTTGCAGACTACATATTGAGTTGTAGTATAGCTTTGATTTTAACCATAACTGGGCCTTTTACACTCAGGACATGATTACACAGCCCATACAAGTAGTAGTTCCCTTGTGTCTTCCCCATCTTGAAAAAATAGAATATTGATATGGGCTAACTTGATGCAGATCTGTAGCACTTGTTGAATTCAGATAAGCTGTGAATAAATGTAAAACTAGAAAGGTACTCGGAGGATGCAACTCCCACCCCACAATGTTTAGTTTTGCAGTAACCAATCTAAAATGTACACCAAACAATTCTGCACCTACAAAAATATTGGTCTAGGTGTCAGTATCCTCTTTCTAGCTCAGTTTGTTCTCCTCAAGTTTTGATTTTACAGAATCCGTGACTTGCTACCATTGTAATGAAAGTAGTTAACCTTTAATGTGATTGTGATTTGAGATACATTCCCCAAAAATTAACCAACTAGTCCTTCAGGGACACTTATGTTTGGCACCAAATTTTATCAAAATTGGATGCAAACATTCCAAGCTATACTGTTCATACAGACAGGCAAACAGGAGAGTAAACAATACCTTTACCATTGGTGGTGAGGATGAATGTATATAATTATCTATTGTAAAACAGCAGTATATTATAGTCAAATTATGTAGGTTATTACATTAACTATCTTAATGTACCAGTTTTGACAGAAGCTTAGGCATTAAAAAGCTTTTTTTTTTTTTATTAATTAAAAATACTGTTCTTGCTACTTATGACATGTTTTGGTGTTATATGAATTTTTAGATAACTTGATATTAAAAAAACAATTTTTTGATGATACAAAAACAAAACTAAGGCACATCCACAAACCTGTTCCAATCAAGAGTGGTGTATTTTCTTCATTAATGTTAATGCCTAAATTAACCACAAACATAAAGTTTTAAATGCCAAAAGTGAATAGTATCTGCAGTTATTTCCAATTCTTGTATTTTAGAAGTGTTTTAAATCAAATATTGCTTTTCTTGAAAAAAAAGTCATAGTTTAAAATTGACATTAAAATGTTAAGATTATACATGCCCACGAAAGACATCAAATGACAGAACATGAAAGAAATTATATGTAATATACAAGAGAGTACATTGTAACTGAAAAAAGGATACTACTTAGTTGAATGTAACCTATTAATGAACCTGGTGATTAATCAGTTAGCAAATTCCATTAATTGCCTAGCTCTAAGTGGAACACCAGTGAGAACATGAACTGACGTTTTTTAGATACAATGATACAAAGTAACAATGGCAACTATGAATTTAAGGTGTATCAAAGAAAAGAAATTTGCTGGTTTATCTTTTAACTTTAAAGCTTATGATTGATCCATTGTGCTTATAAAACCATTACCACATGTATATATTTATAAGGACTTTGGAAACATCAAAATGTTTTTTAACAAAATTGGCTTTCCGAATAATACTGTTGATAACATTATATATGTGGGTAAATTCAGTACTTCTAAACATTTACGTTGGAATGTAAGCAGTTTTGGTCTTGGAGCTTATTTTTCATTAGTATACAACTTTAAAAGCATGTGGAAAATAACTTTGCAATAAAATTGTTGGGAGTGATTTTTTTCAAAGAAAAAGTAGGATTAAATATGAGAAATTTTTACATAAAATTTATTTTTAAGACTATTCTGCTTTCTATGAATATGTTAAGTTGAAATTGATCACTATGGTGACAAACTTAGTGTCAGACCTGTCATTAGCTGTTTAATTATACTGATAATTCCTGATAAACCAAAATCTTATGATTTTGCTAGTTATACCAATTGTTTTTGATACTGTTTAACAACGTACAGATCGGTTTTATCAAACTGATTGATCGCTTCTTCACACACCATACATTGATTTTATCTCTTCATCCTCATCAAAATAGAAAAAGTATTGTAAATTTAGTAGAAATGTATGAAATGACAAAACAGCATGAAAAGTACAGAAATGATGAATCCACTTTGGGTACTGTAACAGTATATATACGTATATTTATTTGGCATCACCATCTGTGAAAACGGTATAAAATATGGGAATTATAGAGCCACTTTGAGTACTGTAATCAGAAATATTTTGTGCTATATATATGTCACTATCTATTAAATCAGCATAACAAATCATAGGAATTAAAGGGCCAATTTTGGCTCTGTAACCATAAATGTATATCGTTATATAGAATTGTATTCTAAACAAACGTGGATAGAAATATATCCGCAAACTACATGAAGTATGTAGCAAGGAAATAGACTAAAAACATTTTTAAGACACAATGTACCATTCAGTGTTGAGAAAACCACAAACTTTCATTGGGTATATCTCAAATGAGCGGAGTTAAAATGGGGCGTCTATCAAGAATGTGCTGATGCTATACTTGAGATACAAACTTTTATGGTGTATATAGCAAAGTTAACACATCATGAATGCAGATGTATTGTAATTGCTGGAATTAAGGCTCAAACCCTCCAGTATTCACTCAAAGAACCAAGTTCAACAAGTTGCAATCACTGTGATATTAACTGTGTGCTATGAAAGTAAAAAATGTTTCACAGTTAGTTTTAAAGTAACAGATTGTTGATCGCAGAAGTCTTGTCTTGATGTGACAGACGTAGCATTTTTACTTTCGTGTATGAGATGGGACAAAACTATCATTTAAATTATGTTATTAATAATTATTTAAAAAGTTTTTTCCCTGTAATTGTGGAGTTTATTCTAAGAATTCTGAAACATTCTTGTGTCAGTATTTAGTTCAGGGTTTTTAAGTTGTGTTTTGTAGAAGAATAATTTGTTTTCCTGTAGATTATTAACGTTTGCTGCTCACAAAGTAACGCATTATGCATAAACATATTGACACACTCCACGTTATCAAAGTTCTACGTGCTATAGTGTTATCAGAAAAGTACCTTTATTTTAAAATATTTGTTGTATATTCAACTTGTGTGGCCTAGAGTTTATATTTTATTTTTAGTATAAGCTAAATTGATGTAAATTCCTCGTGTATGATACTTTAAAATAAAGTGTTTTGAACTACATTTTTATTATGTCTCAAATTTTTAGCTACCCTTGTTCTCTAGTTGTTAACGCCATATATCGCTGTAATGCTGCACGTTGTACAAGAAGGTCATGAAGAGTGTTCATTACTGGTTATTACGGCTTATTCTACTAAAACAAAAAGGACGAAGCAACTAGAATAAGGTAAAGTTAATGACTTTCTGGACCCGTGTTGTCACTATGACAAAGCGGAAACTAAACAAATCAGTAATTTCGAAAATTCATATTTTACTATAGAAGGTACAAAACATGCAACACAAACAGCATTTATAAAGGAGAAAAACTCCAAGCTCATACCAATTTGTACAAGTATGTGTCGTTTCCTGAAAGTGGACAAAAACTGCCAAAATTGTACGAGGTGTTAGCAGCTTTCACCTAAGCAAAAGAACTAGTATACTTACAACGTTTCAGTACGCAGAACAACTGTATAACAATTTATAAATGTTATCTAAATAATCGTATGTTCTAAATATTAATACCAGAAGTTAAGAAAAATTATGTATATTATAATCGGTAATTTGGATGATAACTAATGCACATTTGCACGAACGTATGAAGTTTACAACAAAGAATTAGGAAGCATTCATTGTGTTTGTTTGTTTTTGAATTTCGCGCAAGGCTACACGAGGGCTATCTGCGCTAGCTGTCCCTAATTTAGCAGTGTAAGACTAGAGGGAAGGCGGCTAGTCGTCACCACCCACCGCCAACTCTTGGACTACTTTGGTGTGACGGGTATTCGAACCCGCGATCCTCAGATTGCGAGTTGAGCGCCCTAACCACCTGGCCAGCATTCATTGTGATGCTGAACTTAAAAACGAGCAGTTCAGGATCCTATTTTCAGCACTAAATGAAACAGAACTATGCACAAAAGAGATAACCATCAGTACGATGAGACTTGACATTCATGTTCATAAGTCATCATTCAAATTATTAATGAAAAATATATTGTAAATTAGTTACGGAAGGGTGAAATTCGTGGCTGTTTTAGTTTTGAACGAGAACGTATAAACAGGAATTTTAACTATTTCAAAAGAGCATAATAAGGCTTAAAAATCAAGCAAAGGTTAAAAAAAGTTCAAACATGATAAAACACGTTCGAACATTAGAAAAATTGCTAACATTCTCAACCAAAAATAAATTCTAGACTCACGAAAGAACCTCTCCAGGTTCTACAAATGTCTGTCCTGTCTCCAGTTCTTTCAATCGCTGTACAGGAAGATTTCACAACAAATGTTTAAGGATGAAAAACCCACATATCAGTTTGTTTCATAGCAAAGCCCCATTGGATAATCTGTTGTGTCAACTGCTGGGCACCACATTTTTGCGTTGTAAGTCCGTAGTCTTACCGCTATCCTATCGGGGGACCCCACATATTATCTCTAAAATGTTTTTCAAACAGAAAAGCGATTGGATTCAAACATTACGTAGAATTATTCAAATTGGATTTTCTTGATAACTTTTCACTGTATATAAATATGCAAAATATTAGGTACGAAATTAAGTACACATTTTCTCATCTGCTGTTAGAGTAAAAACTAATAAATATAACCGGTCAAACTGGACCTTATTACTATTTGAGTGCCTCAAGGGTCAGTGCTTTCGTTTCTCTCACTTACATTAATGATACTGATAGAGCAGTCATTACTAAATTCATAAAGTTTGCGGATGACAGCTCTTGGTTATATCTAGCTGCATTGAGGATGTTGGGATATTATAGAATGACTTGGCTCACCTTGTGAGTTGGGCAAATATTTGGTAAATGGTCTTTAGGTATAGTAGTGCAAGATGATGCTCTTAGGTTCTCATAATGTGAGTCATACGTTCAATATATATATGGGAATCCACTCAGTAGCGTAACCGCAGAAAAATATCTTGGTATACTGATGGATAAGTCGCTCAAGACACTGAGGCATTGCTCTGTTGCTAGTAGTAAAGCTAATAAAATTATACGGTGTATTTATATACAAACTGATTACAAGTCAAAGATCACTAGTTAGGCTTCTTTTTGTATCGTTATCTAAGAAAGGATACTGACTTATCGAAATAGGTTCGAAAAAGAGCTACTAGCATAAGATCATTAAACTTATTTTCTCTTGAGATAAGAAAGTATGTGTGTTTGTTTTAGGAAAAACCACATTGAGCTGTTTGCTGTGTCCACCGAGGGGAGTTGAATCCCGGATCTTAGCGTTGTAAGTCCGTATACTTACCGCTGTCCCATCGATGGACGAGATAAAAGGGAAAAAGCTGATCTTATTGAAACTTACAATATTATCCAGAGGATTGATAGAATAGTGTCCTTCCGATTTATTTTTGTGCTGTATTCTCAGGAAAGATGATACAAGTTTAAAACTTGGAAAAGACAGGGTTGACTCCAATTAAAATAGTTTTATTTTTCTAACAGTGTGATTGATTTTCGGAATGATTTGTTGTCTCCAATAATGGAGGCTGGCACTTTACAAGAGTTTAAAAGGGGGACTGATAATTTTCTGAAAAATAAAGGGTGCATTTAAGTCTTATATTTCTTAAGGGTGTGTGTGTGTGTGTAAGAACAGCCTTGAAGGACCGAAGAGCACTTAGTTGTCTGTATGCTATGTTTAACCAATGCACTGAAATATATAAAGCGTAATCATAACAAAGGCTTCAAACTCACTGTAACTTTTATAATTTGTTTTCTTTTTTAAACGAGACGTCCAAGATGATACTATATATATAAACTGCAGAGATTCTAGGCATGCTTTTTGAGAGTTAAACTTAATGCTCACAATTTCCTCTACTCTGACAGTTAGGATTAACATCAAAGCAAATAACTTGAGAAAACGTGCTCCATTAGTAACACAAACGATTCTGAAAATTGCCGTTTTTCTCCACTGTTAATGTTCTGTGGTTTGATTAAATTCATCCGTTATTTTTGTCACGATTGACCATCTAAACAAAAGGTTTGCCTTATGTTATTAGTAGTGCAGCAGTCGTAGGTCGCATTGTAGAATCAGCACAAATGAGATTGAAAACAACTAGATTTTTTCTCTCTCCATAATTAAATGAAGAATTCATAATTCTCAAACTCCAAATCGATGCCTTCCTCCATCAGTGGACTTACATCGCAAGAAACAGGAACACGCTGGTTTCAATAACCGATATAGCCCATTGTGTAGCTTCGGGCTTAACTACAAACAAACCAAATCGCTGGGCCACATTGACTTTATCCTGTGATTAAAAATGTTGACATTACATAACGGACATGCACTAAACATTTCATAATAACGTTGAAGAAAACAAAACAAAAAGAGAATAAATAAAATACAAACAGAACACAAAGATTAGATATGGCTATGGCACCTATGAACTATGATACTAAATAACATATAAAAACACAAACAATACAACGGAAGGGTGATGATTCTATTACTTCAAAATTCTAATCGTCCGAAGCATGTTGTAACAAATATTTTATCGAGTACTTAAAATAACACGTATTAATATTTCCATACTTTCTCATTGTTTTATATTTTAAAACTATAAATTGTGGTCAATAATTTTCCTAAAACTAGATAAGTTCAGTTTGCATTTTTTACAACATTTTCAGACCTTAATGTTATAAATATTCAATTGTTTTTAGTTGACTTCTTAGTTATCGGTAATAAATTTGTTTTAATGTTGAAGCGAGACCTTTATATTTATGCTAGTTTAGCAAAAATGGCAAAATACCACTGAAAATTGTATTTTATACGTTTATCGGTGTGATACACAATGGTGAGTTCTTATATTTAGAAAATTAAACGATTGATTAATCTTATTGATTGATAACACGAGTTTAAATTCTCCAATGAAATGTTAAACTTTAATATTTACATGCAGGATTGGGTATGTTAGTTAAGTATACCACGTGACCGTAGTATAATCAAATTTTAATAAAACTGAAAACAAAAGAGTGATTGTGGGGGTAGGGGGTAGAATGAAACAATTGTTACTAGTGATTTCTGGCAACAGATTATTTGTTGCTTTCGAGGGTGAAAGTGACCAACTTCTGTTTCCTGGGGCCGAAACAAAATCAGATGCTGGCCACTCTCACTCCCTTGGACAACAAAATTATCTGTTGCCCTCATAGCTAGTCAGTAATTGTTCAATGTACACTTCTTCTGTAGACTGAAACCACTTACGTTCTTTGATGTTTGAATAATATCTTCTTATAGTTTTCCTTCACCTTTATACGGGT